GAGGTAATGTATTTTCTAGGGAGTGTCTGTCCCTTTGGGCATAAGTGATGCCTGGAAAGAAATGCAAAGGGGCAGGTGATAAACATCATAGCAAGGCCCAGACCATCAGCGTCAGCATCACCCGGGAACTTGTTCGAAATGCCATGTCTTAGGCCCCATCCCAGGCCAACTGGGTGAGAGATTCAGAGGCTAGAGCCCGCCTTTGTGTTTTAACTAGCTTTCCAGGTGACTCTGACTCTAAAATCAAAACCACCAGCCCAGACTTTGCCTCCGATTCTATAACTTAGGGTTTAGGTGTTTCTGTTTTGACAGATGGCTACAAGGTGACTTTTGACCTTTTTTCTCAGTTGAAGCCAGCTGCCCTGCTGGGAGAAAGGCAAACACTGTATCCCCAGAGTTTGTAAGAAAAAGGGGGAGAGCCTGCTGCATTACTGGTTATCTTTTGAAGGTGCCAGGAGAACTTGCCCTGGAGAACTGGTAAAGGAGGCAGGCCTGAAAGAGTCCTCCCTCCCCCTCCCACTGATGGTGTTTGCCTCACCTCCTGCCCTGGGGCCTGCTGCTCCTGAGTCAGACCTTAAAAGGAGCAGTGGGTGCCACACTTGTTCTTTCTGGTGCCAGGTCTGTGCTATTTCACTTCGTCGGCGTCAAGTGGATGCTTAATGAGGGGCCGTGACGTAGGCAGGCCGACTTGAGAGAAAGCAGCCTCAGTCTGTGCTTCTTGCCGCTCTTCTCCCTGCCTACCCAGCCTCGAGTCCTCCCCTCAGTGAGACCGTGGCCCCCCCTGCGTCAGCCCTTCCGCAAAAGCACCGGCAGTCCTCACTCAGAGCTGCTTGCTGGGTCTGTGAACACTGATAAGTGGCTGGAGAGGCAGGGTGAAGTGGTATCTTTAGTTTCTCCTATTCCTTTGACCACACCCCCCTTCCCAACTTAGTCCCCAAAATAAGAAGATATGGCCATGTGGGGATTTTTGCCATTTCCTTTGGGGGTTTTTTGGGGGGGGTGGGGGGATAGGAGGGGTTGTGCCATCTTTTCCTGTTATTCCTGTCCCTGAAGCCAGGGTTGGGACTGAAATTGACTGGTGGTCAACTCTCCAAACTTGTGCCTTGTTAGATAGCTGGCTCTTCCTTGACTGTAAGAAAATACAGTCGTGCTGCTCCTTTGGGGGGGGGGGGGAACCCTTAACTCCAGGAGATCTGAGCAAACCCCACAAGGGAGTTTGTTTCTGAGGAAAATATTAAGCAAAGACTGTGGTGGGAGTTCGTGGGAGTGCCACTGATGGAAACAGAAGAGGGAATGCGCTGACCTGTGGAAGTCGGTGTGCAGAGGTAGGGGCAATGCTTAGGAATCTCGGTGACCCAGCTCGTGAGGCTCTGAACTCCAGTCAACTCCTCCAGGACAGTAAAGGAAGCTCACTGTCCTGGAAGGCTGGGGAAACTTTACAAACCATCCCTTGTTTCCCTGAAGTGTTCTGATCCTAGTGAAGATGAGACCGGAAGAGAAGGTAAAGGAGAGGATAGGAAACAAAGTAGACAGAGATCAAACCAAATAGCTATCCATTTATTTAACACACAATGACTGAGTGCCAGGCTACTGCTGATAGAGTGCCTGCTGTGGGCCGGGGATATTTTGCATTCTCTTTCATTTTCTTGACAACCCTTCAAGGTAGGTGTTACTGGCCCCATTTTTCAGATAAGAAAACCAAGGCCTTAGAGGTTTAACTTGACCAAGGTTACCCAGCTAGCTGATGACAGACCTAGCCCATGTCTGTTCCTACCCTGCTGCCTCTCCTCAAAAAACATACCTCCCTTGCAATATGGTCTGCTGCTCCCCTCTGCCCAGGTGATAGGGGCTCAGGATGGAGAGATATTCTGCCCCTTCTGCCCTCTGTGTTATGAGGCCCTAAGCTGTCATTGCTCTACTATTCTGCAGGCACCTTCCTTCTCAGTTCCTCCAGCTCTGTGCCTGGGTTCCCAATAGTGCTGTCTCATGAAGAGCTTCCCACCTTTGAGGAAAGTCTTGTCAGCTGGTTGGAGAGGAAAGAGGCATCTAAGAGGAAGTCTCCCAGCCAGGCCTTTAGACAAAGGAGCCAGGAATTGTTGCAGCCAGGCTCCCATGACCCTGAGGTTTATGGAGGGGTGTCTATGCTTCCCTCCTTCTCCACGGCTGGTTCCATCCCAGGGGAGGAGGGTGCTCGCCCCCTTAACTGCTGCCCTGAAGAAGGCTCCCCCTTTGTTGAGAAAAGCTGTGATACTTTTCTGGCACTACAGTCTTCCTAGAGTGAAGACCGCCTGTGCTGGTCTCTGCACTCTCTAACCCCTAGTGACTCCCATGACATCCTTTCTCCTAATGTCCTTCTAGATGTTACCCTCAGAGAGAGAAACCCTATTTTTCCATAGCCCTTCTGCCCAGCTTTCTTTTCTTTTCTTTCTTTCTTTTTTTTTTTTAAGTTCATTTATTTCAAGAGAGGGCACGTGAGCAGGGTAGGGGCACAGGGAGAGAAAGAGAGAGAAAGAGAGAGAATACCAAAGAGGCTGTGCTCCAACTTGGGGCTTGATCCCACGAACCGCGAGATCATGACTTGAGCTAAAATCAAGAGTCAGACGCCCACCCGAGCCACCCAGGCGCCCCTTGCCCAGCTTTCTCTACTGCTTAGGTCCTGTTTGTAAGGGCCGAGCCAGAGTTCTGGCTGAATTCTACATCCCCATCCCATAGCCAGACATACCTTGACATATACCCTCTAACGAAGGCCTGTCTACACGGTTGGTACCATGGAGGCGGGGCGGGGGGTGGCCGTTGGGAGCAGTTTGTGAATGTTAGAATTCAGATTCTTGATGATGATGGTGATGATGATGATTACTGTTATTATTATTTTGAGACATCTGAATTCAAGGGCTCTGCTTGAATCTGCTCTTCCCCACCTCTATCCTTTGGGAGTCATGGGTCAGGCCCAGGCCCCTGCTCCAAATACATATATGTATGACTGGAGAGCAAGAGGAAAACTTCAGTTGGAATCATTCGCCCTTACCTATTCATGTCTCAGAGGGGTCTTCCCACACGCATAAGAATATTCCCAAGCCTTTTCAAAATTCCACACCAACCTCTTCCACCCCCTTCACCTTATCCCATTTCCAACCAGCTAACCAGTCTCCTCACTCCCCGCTACAGGAAGTTGGCACCACCCACTCACTGGCCTCTCTGGCACCTTCCCAGGTGCCTCAGCTGCCCACCCAACTCTGAAGCCAGGAAGCTTACACCCGGCCGGGGCAGCCCTCGCCGGGTCCCCGACATAGCCAGCAACAAGTCCTTAGAGTCTAGAGTCTGTCTTTGGCCCTAGCTCACCATATCTCCCAGCCCAAACCCTTCCTACTCAACCCGTGGTCCAGGAAACAGCAGCACAGCTGTCACCTGGAGCCGATTAGAAATGCACATTGCCAGGCCCCCCACAGACCTACCGAATTAGGACCTGCAATACTCTGCGCCTTAACATGTGAGAAGCACTGCTCTAAACAATCTGATCTGCTGAAAAGACACCCCCTCCTCATGCTTCCTGCAGCCCTCCCTCCCTTCCACAGTGGAGAAACCCTGAGCATGATCTGGACACTCCCTAGAGAACCCAGAGAGGCTGGTGAGTGAGGCCTGGGACCCTCAGCAGAGAGGAGCAGCCACCACCACAGGGCCAAAGAGGAAGGGAACAGAGGGGGCCACATGGGGAGATCCAGGCAGGAGCTTGGGGGGCAAAAGACACACGTGGTGAGAAAGGAAGGGGCACCTGCCTTTTCGAGCAGAAGTGAGATGGTTCCCTTTGGGCTCCTCCCACCATCCCCAGCTCCTGTCAGGCTCTTGCAGCCAAGAATGGCTCCTGCTGTGCAGCCTGGGGCTGCTGGATGCCTGAGTTTCTCCCTCCCTCTTGCTGGCAAAGTCACCATCGCCCACCGGCTGCACTGCTGGTAGTGGGTGCTCAGGAAATGTTTGTTGAATTGAGAGGAAGCCACAGCTTGTGCGGAGTCTGAATAATTCACCAGCCGTGGGCCTCAGGGGAGGGGCAGGAACAGAGACTAAGTAGGAAAGACAAGTCCTGAAGTTGTACTTCGCCAGAGTCGCTGTTTCTCTGTCCCTCGTCTGAGTCCTTGCTATTGCATGACCTTGGTGCAGGGAGGTGGTGGGGAAGAGGAAGTAGGAGATGGCAGGAAATGGCCCTGGGCTGCAGGGCTGCCCTCTTCCCTCCCCTTGGGGTACACTTGAAGTCTGACCTGGGTAGGGGGGAGGGTGTCCCTGCTGGTGAGCTTTCCCACCCTACTGTGGAGGGGTGGGGGGGGAGGGGGGGGGAGAGGCTATTCTCTCACCACCCAACTCCACCCCATTTCAGAGAGGAGGCCTTTCCAGGAACCCTCTCTTTTGCAGAGGAGACCTGAGCTCCATTCTCCTGTCCCCAGCTCAGCCCCCACCTGCTGTGCCCTCCCTTTCTGGGCCTCAGCCTCCTCTTCCAGGAAGGCAGGAGGCTGCCAGCTGATGGCTGACATTCCACTCGTTTGCCATCCTGTGAGTCTGGGGCTGTGAGTCACCTGGGTGCAAGGCAGAGGCATGGGAAAGGGCCCAGGCCTGGGCTGGTCCTGCCAGCTACTGAGGCTGCCTCCACCTCCAAAGCCACAGCTGGAAAGAGAAGCCAGGCCCTGGGGGTGATAGAGGCCAGGTGAGCCAGGTGCTGAGTGTTTCCAAGCCTCGCTTTCTTGCCAGCCTCAGAGACCAGGTGTGACATAGGAATACACCAGGAGCTTTACCTGCAGGTGAAAACACACCCGTACACAGGGATGTGCACCTGAGATACAAGGAAGGCCAGCTCCTTGCCCTCACGATGTCACCCCACTGGAAAGTTTGCCCAACTGCTCAGCTGGACTGCCACAAGCCACCAGCAACCAGACACCCACCACGCACAAGAGTCCTGACTGCATTCTACCCTCCTCCTCTGCCCAGCCCGGCCCCTTTGCTCCCAGGGGCTTTGCTCAGCATCTTCCCACGGGGCCCGGACCTCCTGTCCTGCTTCTCACACCTCCTGCGCCCCTTGCTCTTTGGCCCATTCCCCTGGTGGGCCTGCTTCGTTGTGCCAAGCCCTGCTGGGCCCCAGCCTTGCCAGACCTGTCTTCTCTGGGCTCTAAGGGCCCTGCTCCTCCTTGGGGCTTGGAGCAAGTCTGTACTTCCGGCTCAGCCTGGGGGTCATTCCACCCCGGGAGCTGCTCAGAACCATCTGGCCGGGACACAGGGTTCTCCTGGGCTCCAGGCCTTGGAGGGAGCACACACACACTCGCCCCGGGCCCAGGGCTACTGGCTCCTCCTAGAGAAAGGTCAAGGGGAACCAAGTCAGTGTTTTGTGGAGAGGCAGGTTCTGGACTGGCTATCGAGACTCCTGACTCCCTTTTTGGCCCCTCTGGGGATACCGGGGCTGGGCTGGTTGCTGGGGCACTTGTGGGTCTGCTCAGCTCCACCTCGCTCTGCTTCTGTGAGTGTTCCTCCTCGCTCCGACTCTTTCTGGTACTTTGGCTTCCCTGAAACAAGAGATTGGCCCTGCTGGCTGGCGAATTCAGAGCTCAGATCCCCAGCCCGTCCCATCCTATTCCCCAACACCCACCTCCTGGCTCTCCAGCTCCTCCTTGCCTTCCTTCGTCTCCCACCTGTAGAAACACGACACATGGCAGGGTCTACTCCTACCCATGCCCTTCACATCAGTTGCTCTGTAGCCAGGGGCCCATGTTCCCAGGGAGCAACTAGACCCCAAGGGTCTCAGAGGAGTGTCAGAGCCAGAACAAGGCTCCAGGATACTTCCCTTCCAACCCGACCTTGTTCCCCAAATCCTGCCATTTCCTCTGAACGCTAGCCACTTGAGCTCCATCCCAGGTGCCCAGCTGATGTTTATGGCCAGGCCTGGGCCACCCTGAGTTCCATGGAGACTCTGGACGTGTCCCTGCCTGCACCGCCTGGGAAAGGCATGCCTGACTTCCTGGGGGAAGGCAACTGCTGTAATTACTGCGGCCTCCCTGGGCACCAGGCTCTCGCTGCTGCTGCCTTTGCTGCTGGCCTCTCCTGGAACCTCATTAACCTGCCGCCAGGCAGCCGTCAGGCAGGAGGCAGCGTCCCCGAGGCCCGGAGCACGAAGCTGGACCAGTGCTGGTCCTGACCTCCCAGGGGCAAGGGAGATCCCGGAAATCAGGAAGCCCAGATGATTCCCCTGATTTTGCCCCCTGCCCCCTGTTACCTGCGGGCCCTGCCAGTCAGCCTCTCTGTCCCCCGGGCTTTGCTTCGTGTGGCAGACACCACTGAGGATCTGCTGGGTTGCCCACCCCGAGTAGTACCACCTGCAAGAGATGGCCCACGAATCAAGCAGAGAAGAGGGCATGGCAGCCCAGCTCCTTCACCAGCTCATGCAACCCTGCTCCTCCTTTATTCCCAACTCACCTTTACCATCAGGGGACAAGGGTGGGGGCTGTAGCTTTCGGTGGCTCCTGGGACCTAAGTGGGGCAAAGGAAATGGGGAAAGAGTGGGGTGATAAAGGATCCAAGGAAGCAACACCATTTTTCCAGGACCAGGAAGCTGTCTGTCTTTCTCCTAGTCCAGTTGTGGGTGTTCTGACTCCCCAAAAGAGCCCCGGTCTGGGGATCGAGAGAGCTGGGTGCCTGTGCTCACTTTGCCATTCCTGGCTAGGTAGCTGGCTGAGCCTCTCCAGCCCCAGCTTCCTCCTATGTGAAGTAAGGGGACCAGCAGTTCTAAGAGCTCTGTCCCTACAACAGGCCAGGGACAGGGAGACTGGAGCTTTCACCCGTGAGGGACCGACTTCAAAAGGATCCCAGTGCAGACTTCCTGTGAGCCTCCTCCCCGGAACTGCTGGGGTCAGAACCCAGGGTAGGAGCTGTGGGTTTGGAGGGAGGGAAGGTGCCCTGCTCTAATAGCAAGGGAGAGGAAGGAAGATGTTCTTCCATGCCTCTTCCTAGCTCCAGAAATAAGTGGCACACCAAGAGACAGAGAAAGGAGGGGAAGCAGGGGTGGGGGGAGGCTGTGATAAAAGCCAAGGAGGGGAAGGAGTTGCGGTGGGTATTGGCTCACCCCTGGTGCCGCCCGCCCTGGCCGGGCCCTCTTCTCGAGGCTTGCTGGAGTCCTGTAGCCTGTGGAGCCAGAGAGTCAGGCTGCTGTGGGATGGACACAAGCTAGGGCAAGCCTCACACAACCACTGCCTCCCTCAGCTCCAACCCCAGAACAGATGGGGGAAAGGTGGGGGACCCGGTGCCCGCCCTGAGCCCAGGGCCCAACCAGAGGGCCCAGGAAGACTCTTAACCACCCTGGAGACGGTCTCACCAGCCCTCCAAGAAGCACCCACAGTTAATCCTGCCCTAAGCCCCGCAAGCATGTCAGTCCAACAAGCTGCCCAGCCCTGCCACCCACGTGGGCTTGGCCTTGTCCAGGTCCCACGGGCGGCGCCAGTCACCCTGTGCGTCTCTGTGCCTGGCCACACGGGCCAGGTCGATCTGTTCCCGCTCCTGCTTCCACTGGGCATAGTCCCAGCCCACTTCCTGGGGTCCCCCCACTGGTCGGTGGGGAACCGGGCCTGGGACCAGGCCTGGACTCTGGGGCTCCCGAGCACCCTGCAGGGAGAAGACACTCAGCACCATGGGGTAGAAGCAGGAAGGCCTGGGCTTGGAGTGGAAATCTGGATACTACTAACCCCTTCCTCTCCAGGTTTCCACGTCCCCGTCTAAAAATTAAATCCATTCCGTCTCTAACGTGTTGTTTGCCATAGATACGGTTTCCATCCACTTGTTAGCTGTGTCTTTTGGGCAAGTTACTTAACCTCTCTGTGTATCATTTTCTCATCTGTAAAATGGGGATAATAATAGCACCTATCCACGGGGTTATAGGGGAGGGAGGGTATGGACAGGGCCAGAGTGGAGAGGCATCTGGCAGCAGTCAGCAAGAGCCAGTAGTAGGGGCTGCTGCCACCTAGAGGTCACACCTGGCACATGGCCAGTCCCCTGCAGCCTCCTGGCCCACCCCAAGGCCCGTCAGAGATCCAGTTAGGGTAAGGGGCTGACCTCTGACTTCTCCTGTCTCTCACTGCAAGGCCCGCCCAACGTGGAGACTGGCCAGAGAAAGGAAGAAGGGGTGGGAATTTTTGCTGATGCTACCTGGGCATGTCCCCATAGATGAGGGACATATGTGACTCAGCTTCTCCGCCTCCCCCAAATGAGCACTGCCACTTTCATGTCCCCATCCTCTCTTGAAGATGTACCTTCCGTGCCGAATCCGAGCTGACGGCCATCTGCATGGAGGGGGTCCGGCCCAAGCCCCCTCCAGGTGACCCTCCTGCCCCCCGGTTCTTTGCTCTGGTGGGCTTCTCACTTACGATCCGCTTGGCCTGGAGGAGGTGAGGATGGGTGGTGTGGCACAGCCAGGTAAGAAGAGGCTGTCGGCCTGGTGCCTGGGCTTCCCCCGCCCACCCTGCTTACCTCAGCTCTGTTCTCCATGGTCACAGCCAGCTCCACCCGGTCCCCCAGGCAGAAAGTACCGGTGTGATACTCCACCTCCTCGTCCTCAAGCATCGCACTGGCTGCTTCAGGTCCAAGGGATCTCACCCAGTTCCGGCTGACAACCCGCTTCTCCTGCGGAATGGGATGCCATGCCCTCAGGCCACATGGGCAGGGCTGAGCAGAGCTGGGCACTGAGTCCTCTGGGAGGTTCCCCAAGGCTGGCTTCCAGCCCTGGACCTCCCTGGAATGCCCATAGAGGAGCTGATTCTATGGGGCATTCACATGCCAGTGGCATTAGGTTATCCAGGCCCTGGGGCCACCCTGGGGCCCAAGATGCCATAGCAGCCTGTCATCTCTGAGCTGGGAAATCCAAAGCACTTGGACAATGGGGCTTTGTCCCTCCGATACTGCTCGTGGCTTTCGGCCCCACTTCTCTGTCCCTGTAGGGTTTGGGTTTTAGGAGTAGCCTGTGGTTTACAGCACAGGTGCAGGGCTATGGGACTGGGAAAGGGTATGCGGAGGCTTCTATTCGGTGGCCTTTCAGCTGTGGCCCTTTGGGTGCAGGGGAACTGGGTGGGCTGGGCTGCAGAAGGCTGGGAACTGACGGGTGAGCCCCAGAACTGTGAGTGGAGGAAACAGAGGAGCAGGAGCAGTTGTCTTCCCCTGACGCAGGCTGGGCCTCCACCTCCTCGCAGGGCCGGGTCCCCAGGGCCTGGCATGGTGCCCTGTAAACTACAGACCCTCCGTCAGCACTCGCAGAGCAGCTACAGGAGTGAACAACCCACGCTGTCACCCCGGGGTGGGGCTTACGCCGGGAACCTGGCTGATAGTGACAGTGAGGCCATCAGGTCGGAGGAATTCCTGCGCGGTCACAGCCATGCCCCCCTGCTCCGCCTGCCGACGGTCTTCCTGGATCTCCTACGGGAGGGCCCGGGGTCAGCACAGGCCATGGCCCCCCAGACGCACACAGACAGGCCTACACAGAGAGACACCAGTGGGACACCAGGGGGCAGAGGCACGGCATCACAGAGTCCCCAAGGTCCTCTCAGAGTTTCTGAGATGAACCACATGGCCCTAACCCTGGCCCCAGGCCTAGAGCCTGCAGGGAGAGACCGCCATGCAGGGGTCTGCGAGACAGACAGGGAGTGCCCACCCAGCTGCCCTTCCCGGCCCATCACAGCCCGCTCACCTGGTACCTGCGGAGTAAGGCCTGGTTCTTCTTTCGAAGGGCCACTATCCTCCGATCCAGCTCTGCATCCTTCTCTTCCTGCCTGCTCAGGGGTGACTCAGCTCCGTGAGGCCCCTGCAGAGGGCAGGGGGCCCAAGCTCCTGACTGCCGGGCCCATCCCTTATCAGGCCCCTAACTTTCACATTCACCTGAGAACCATATTCTTACCACGAATGGACCCCGGCTCTCCGGAGCTAGGCTCACAAGGGGGGATGGCACATGGAAGGTCCCAAGTCCCCACCCTACTAGTCTTGTCTGCCCGGCTCTCTGCCTCCTCAGGGGTTCAGATCAGGGCCTCATACGGGGCCCTCCACTCTCAGCAGTGGGCTGCCCCTCCCCCGGGCTCTCCAGGGAGCTCCACTGCCGAGAGAGCCTGCCGAGCAGGAATGAGAGTTATAAATGGCTCTGGCAGCGGAACCTGCCGTGACTGGGAAGTTGCCAGGGGATTCAGGAGGTCGAGGAGGGGAGCTGTTTGGCTCCCAGGCCCAGAACCACGGTAAAAAAGAGAAGCCCCTGCTCTGTCCTGGGCTCCCAGGCCCCGGGCCCCACTCCCCAGGCTTGCAGCCCAGCCTGTGGGAAAGAGCCACCGTCGCGAGCCCAGCCTTTCCAGGCCTGAGCTTCTTTCGGCAGTCGGGGCAGGAGAGAGCCAGCTCCATGGGCAGGCCCAGCAGAGGAGCCACCCTAAGCAAACCATGCCTCTGCCCCGAAATCCCCAGGTCTCTCCCTGTGTGGCTGCAGGGTCTCCCTTGTAGCCAAACGCCCCTGCCCAGCCCCCTGCAGGCCTAGGCACAGCCCTGTTCCTCCCAGGCCCAGCTGTCCCCAGCTGCCCCCAGAGTGTGGCTGCCTGGTGTCCCGGCCTCCTCCCAGCCCCCAGAAGCCCCCCGCCAAAGGTGAGGTGCCACTCACAGCCGAGTGCATGGCAACAGTGGGCACTGAGAGAATTCCAGAGCAGCCCCAGGGGAGCCAGAGCCGGAGGGAAGCCGGAGCCGCCGAGCCACCACCGGAGCCGGGCCTCTGCTGGCCTCTCCCTGCCGGCTTCACTGCTCAGCACACGAGATCATGTTGTGATTACAAAAGACTCCTCTGGGCTCACAGCCAGGAATGCTGTCGCCGCCGCCCCCACCCATCCACTCTCAGAGGGCAAGGACCAGGGCACTGGCCCTGCCCAACACCTCTCTCCCTGCCCCGCCCCAGCGTCCCCAGAGACAGGGCAAGAACCTTTCTCTGTCAGGTTGGCCCACGCAGGGGGCCTGGCTGCCCCAGGCCCTGCCTTCTCTGAGGCTCTATGCCCAGCGGAGCCCCAGCCTGGACGCACCTGCAGAGGGATGGGCAGCCAACAGAAGCCTCCATTCCTCCCAGGAGTAAAGAGCCTACAGGATGCAGCTGAGCCCATCGGGCATCCTAGTCGGAGGGCCCCCACCTCAAATGAGCCTCTCCCTATTTGTCCTCATCAGCTCTGGTTTCAGGAATTTGAAGGGAACAAGAAGCTCACCTCCCCTCGGCCACCAAATACTACTACATACCTGACATAACACCATTAGTCATTCCTTTAGGTTGAACAGTGTCTTCCCTGTGTTTTAAAGTACAGCCACTCCAGAGAGGCTCAGCTGTCCAAGTCTCCCCTCGGTATGGAGAGATGGGCCTTCCCGCAGGGCCCATGCCACCGCAGCCCAGAGCCGGCCACTCAGGGTCCCAACTCTGGGCGCTTCCTGGCCTTGCTCTCCAGGACTGGCCTTTCATCCTCTCCCACCCTGAGAAAGGAGGCAGCCTTTCTCAGGGAAATCTCTCTCCAAATCTTCCCAGTATGGCTGAGGGAAGCGGCTTGCCTGGCAGTCCTACTCTTAGAGCCCCTGGGAGCTGAGGCTTGGGGTGCTGGGAGGAGGGGTGTCTCTCTGTATCAAGGGTACCTATGGTCTATTTCAATAGCTACAGGGACCTGACCTCCAAGACCTGATGGGAGGGAGAGGTCCCTGCATCCCCCACATTCCTGATGGAACAGGCCTCAGTTTCGCTAATCCCATGATCTGTCTCCAGAGCAGAAATCCTCGCTGCCCTTTCACTCCTCCCCAGACCAGCCCAGGCAGCCAGAGTTTCAAGGTCTACTCCCCTTGACCCATCCGTTCCTGCCCCCCTCCCATCCCTACCATGGTTAGCCTTTTTCCTGGCCAGGCCTTCACACAGCACCCCTGACCCACAGCCAATCTCCACAGCCCCAGAGTTCCCATCCTGCTTGGAAATGCCACCACAGTCTCTTCCTTTCCTGCCGGATGTTCCCACTGAGTCAGACTCCCAGCAACGGTGACGTACCCAGTCTCCTCTCCCTCTCTTTTTCTCTCTCTCTCCTCTCCCTCTCCTTCTCCCACCCTCTCTGTGTGCTACCTCACACAGGATGCTGAGTTTCATCCTAGCCCCCAAAGGCCCTGGTGGTCTGGCCCCCAAGCTTCCCACCACCTACCCCACACCGTGTTGTTGGACCCGGGAGGCCTGCACAGCACCAGCCTGAGATGGAGCGACACAGCAGCTGAGACCTAATGTTCTCCATCATCTTTGGCTCTCAAACCGGGTCTGGGGCAGTGGGGTGTAGATACAGGAGGCTACAGGGGTGAGGCAAGGTCGGCTGTGCCCCTCACCCCTGTTCCCAGCCAGGGTCAGGGCAGGACAGCGGCAGGGAGACAGGAAGCACAGGTAGCAATCCGGCCATCCCATAGGGAGGGTGACACCCCCCCGCTTCTGGAAGGGCCTGCAGGGAGAGACCGCCTAACCTAGTGAAGGTCCCCAGGCCCATCGGGCTGCAGGCCCACATTTTCTAGGACAAACCAGTGATCAGATAGGGCCCCACAGTTGCTGGTCGTGTGCTTGCCAAATGTTACTCACACAATACGTCGTCCCTCAGAGCAGCCCCTACATTCTCCTATTTTCTCCAGCGTCTGAAGTTTGCTTGTCTGCTCCCCAAATGGACAGAGGCTCTCTGAGGGCAGAAATGGTATACCGAGTGCCTCCAGATCCCCAGGGCCCGGCATAGTGCCCTTATAAACTACAGACCCTCCCCAAGCGCTCGCAGAGCAGATACAGGAGGGAATAACCCGCGCTATCCCGTGCGTGGCTGTGGGTGTCCTATGTATGTGCTTTGACTGCCTTTCTCTCCACCCAGAAACACACGCAGCGCTGAGTAGTGGTAAAGGCCCCTATGAGGGGTAAAGAAAGGACCCCTGTCTGGGGGAAGTGGGAGACACCATGTCTCTGTTACTCCATGCCACCACTAGGGGACAGCAGAGTCACAAATCCTGATGAGGTGTGGGCTCTCTTCCCCTTCTTCCCTCCAGCTCCCCAGCTCCTCTCCCTCAAGTCTCTATAATCCCCAGACTGGAGAACTCCCAACTCCGCCATCTTAGAGAAGCTACACCGTTGTAGAAGCCTTATTTTATTGATGAGAAGTGCCAGAGAGATAGCACCACCTGCCCAGGCCACACTGCCTTTTGTGTCACAGGTGAGACTAGGAGCCAAGGCGCCTGCCACCCAGCTGTGCACTTTCCTGCCGCTCACCCCCAGGTGGCCCCCAAAACATTGTTTCTGCAGATACTTCGCTCTGTGCCCTCCTCTTCCCTGCGCTGAGGCGGACCCATTGTCCTGGCACCTCAGCCATGGGTCCTGGTCAACAGCTCTTCCCTGGCTCCCTCTCGGGTGGCCTGCCAGCTGGGCCCGTGGCCACACACCTGGAGTGGGCTGTATTTGGGTGGTATTTGTGGTCCGTGGTATACATACCCCAGAGCCCATCCTGAGGACAAGATGGCTGCACATCTGGGGATTGTCACTGAGGAGAAAAGAGGAGAGAGGCCTGCAAGGGAGGAAGGGACTCTCTGGACCACGCACCGAGACTGGGAGCCCAGATCTGACAGAGACCCCACTCCTGGGCCTCATTTACTGTTTCCAGAATGGCTGCCCCTGCCCAGGGCTGATGAATAAAACGTAAGCACTCCAGTCCTTGCCCTTCCTCAGCCTTGACATAAGATGGGTCAGAGTGGGATGGGGGAGTCCGAATTAATTTCACTTTCATTGACTGTATGACTTTAGGGCAGTCCCTTATCGCTCTGGTCCTCATCTGTAAAATGAGGTGTACCTACTCCTCCAAGTCATTGGCAGATGAAAGGAAATGACACGTCTTATCTATATCTGGAACAACACGCCTCCCAGACTCAAGCTCAACATAGTTTTCTTCTTGCCTCCGGGAACCGTGATAGCCAGCTCGTGGATGCTACCACTACAGCATCCTTTGAGGGGCCCCAAAGGCTGCCTCCTGCCAGCCTGCTGGGATCTGAACACACTGAAGACTTCTGAAGTGTGAGGCCCACTTGTGACCTGATAGGGAGATCCTGAGGCACCCCCTCAGCATCCTCTCTGAGCCTCCCTTCATGATGACCCCTGCCCAGCAAATCCTGTAAGGCCAGGCTCCTGCCCCACCCCCTGCAGGGAGTTCACCTTGACTCCTCCCCTCCCTCATGCCTCGTCCCCTCTGAAGTCCCAGGCTCTGGCTGCCATCTCTGGCCAGCTAGCGCCGATGCTGCCAGAAGCAGTCCCCGTGCTTCACCTGCCTCTGGATCCCACTAGGCCCACTTCCAGGCTCACATCCCAGTGTCTGGGAACCATTCCGGGCTGGGGCCAAACCCTTAGAGATCACTGGGGCCACTTTCCCCACTCTGGGTGGGTGGTTGAGTATTGAGGAGGAGGGCGGGCAAGGCTGGATTACATGAGCACCCAGACAATAGGCAGGCGACCCTCCAAATAGGGAGAGGCAAGAGGGTGGCTTAAAGCCTCCTGGATTTCCTTTCCTGCAAACCCACTCTCCATCAGGGCCATTCCTGGCCCAAGAAACTGCTTTCCTGCCTCCTCCTGACCTGAGATCTATGCAAGGCGATGCAAGCCTCTCAGGGCAGACCAGGCCCAGCCATGGGTGGGGAGGACCCAGAGTACATGAAGTAGGGCCAGGACACGCTCTGGGCAGGCTGCAGCCACGGGGGCAGTCTGGGCCTCGCCTTTCCCCAGAACACGCATGCCAGAGCAGGGTGGGGCTGAAGCCCTTTAAGGCATCAGGAGGCAAAAGGCTGATCTGGGGACCCACTCCTCCATTCTGCTTTCCAGGGCACACCCAAGGCTGGGACATCACATGCCTTCCAGCTCCTGGCCCAGCAGTGAGAGATGAAGCCCCGGGTTCTCCCTTGTTTGGGGCTCTCTTCTCCATGACGGGTGCAAAGGTGACTCACAGTGTTCTCCCAGGACCCAGGACCCACCCCTGCCCCCAACCCCTAGCCCAGAGCTGCCCACAACCAGAGGCTGAGTGCCACCCTGTCAAGAGCTGGCCCACAACATTAACGTTAACGGGGTATCTACTGCGTACTTGACCTGGCCGAGGCAATGAGGGAACCGAGAGGCGAGGATCCAGACTCCACCTTACTGGCACTTGCCAACACCAGGCCATGTTAGCCTGAAGCCAGGGCAGCACAGGGCACGGGCCAACCGAGGAATTTTCCGACTGAGCCTCAAGGGGATGAGGAAGACTCAGCAAGGGGGTGGTTGTGAGAGGGCATCCCGTGAATGCATGATGGCAAGCGCAGTGGCACAAGCTGGGGGCTGTGTTCAGATCCCGGAGGGAAGGGTCTGGGCCAGACAGAGCAGTGGGAGTCCAGGGAAGAGTGAGCAAGGGAGCCTCAGGAGGCCTTAGAGCATCAGCATGGGGGAGGGGGCATGGAGTAGAGAGGGGAGGAGTCAAGACAGCATCCAGGACTCAGGCCTGGGGGTCCTCATGAATGTGGGGAACAGGCCAGGCTTGCCTGCATGCACCCAGGGGGCTCTTTCCTCTGGGCAGGCAAATAGGTTGGAATGCCAGCATGGGACAGACAGGTTCTCCCCCCACTTGAAGCTCATCACAGGGGCCTCTCATGGGGGTGAGGTGTGGGTGGGGTCATACCCTCTAGACATAGGGAAGAGGTCTGGCCCAGTTTTGAAGAATAGAAAGAAGGACAGAAGCCCGACAGAAGGCAGAGGGCTTGTTGAGAGGCGACCTGTC